GGCGGGATAGTTAGTTGTTGCAGAAAATAATTAACCACACAGCGTAACTGCTGCTGCCACTGGTTCGTGAAGGAGTCCTCCCATTGGACATTTGCGTGCGAACAACATCGTTGTTCACAATGTAAAAACGCGGCAGGAGAAGTTCAGGTCAATTTAAAAATCATATATAGTGGATATATGGAGGAGGACTTGCTTATCTAAATGCAATTGACTGTGGCGACAACAAACAAAAGGGTGATTTATGGTGGAAGGGTGGGGGCATAAAAGAGGAGATCAACGAAAGATCACCGAAAATAGCGGTTGGTTACAAAAAGGTTACGAAAATAATCTTTAGATGCCTTCAAAATAATCTTTAAAAAATCCACGCCTCTGGTAGATGCCTTCAAAATAATCTTTAAAAAACCCACGCCCCTGGCAGATGCCTTCAAAATAATCTTTAAAAAATCCACGCCTCTGGTAGATGCCTTCAAAATAATCTTTAAAAAACCCACGCCCCTGGCAGATGCCTTCAAAATAATCTTTAAAAAATCCACGCCTCTGGTAGATGCCTTCAAAATAATCTTTAAAAAATCCACGCCTCTGGTAGATGGCTTGAAAATAATCTTTAAAAAATCCACGCCTCTGGTAGATGCCTTCAAAATAATCTTTAAAAAATCCACGCCTCTGGTAGATGGCTTGAAAATAATCTTTAAAAAATCCACGCCTCTGGTAGATAGCTTAAAATAAGTTATATTCCCAGTTAGCTATTAGAAAAAAAATTTTTGAAATGACCTTCAAGCTATCTAATTATAATTTTTAAATTACTACCTGTCTCTTTACCCCTCCCTATCCCTTAGTCTTCGTTTTTTGTGGTTCTCCTTTTGCCATTTAACCTTGTCTCGTTCGTTCTGCTTCATTTTGGATGTGGTTAGTTTTTTGGTTCTCCTTTTTAAGCCCATATTGTTAACTCATTGTGGTTAGGCAAAGTTTCTTCTTTTCGTTCGGACCACTTCTATTCCACCATCCAGACATTGCCAATTATCATGCGGCAAGTTTTGAAGGTCCTCTGCCAAAATAGAACGACAACAGCAACAACCTAAAAACTATTTCTAGTTTAAATTAAACTTTTGTAGAGTTTCGCTTTTTTCCTGTGTGTGTGTTTATTTAGAGGAACTAACCGCACACAGACATAGTTTTGGCCCGGGAGGCATTTAGAGGAAGTTTACAGAAGGGTGGCAAAAAAACGAATCCTTGCTTCAACTTCATTTATATCCTGCAAGCGAACCAGGGCGAAAAAGATAAACACAACGAACTTCAGTTATCTGTGATGCCTGGCTATCAGATGGCGATTCCGCAGAGAGCGATGTTGGGAATGAAGGGTTTCTGGGCTTACTATCCTCCCCTCCTTCCTCCTACCATCCTCGAACCTGACCACAATTCAAAATAAAAAAAAAAAACTTTCAGAGATTTATTACTCCCTTGAAATTTGAACACAAATATTCAAATAAAAATTCTTGGTGGTATCCTCGAGGAGCCTTTGAACGTTTAGAATACCTCCCTCCCCCCCTGCCCGCCTAGCAGGCTGCAGGAAACTGCACTTTTCCTCGAATGATAAATAAAACCCAACTCGAATTTGATATGCTGAGTGCAACTAATGTTGATCTAAATGATGGCAATGGTTGGTTATGTTCCTCCGCTGGATGGATAAATGGTTAGTTGGACAGATGGATGGTTGGCAGGATGAATGGCTGGACAGATGGCTGGTTGGATAGCTGACTAGGATAATGGTATGCTTGCTGTCTGTCTTGTACATGATTGTTGCTTAGTTGTGGAGTTGGCATTTTTTTTTTTCTCTTCCCAACATCACGAAGTAGTCTTCTCTTGAAAATCATCTGTAAGCTGACACTGACGATGACAACGAATCGTCCTGCCTGCCACTGCCAAGGAAACAAAAATTGCCCAGGCCAACGTTAAAATGTTGTGCAGAGGGATATATAATTCATTTTTATGTTGAGGAAAAAAAATCATGTTTTCTATTTGAGGAGGACCTCCTTCGAGAGCGGTCTTCCTCCGAAAGACGGAGGGTGGTGTAACTAAGGATATGTTGCCATTGGCTTCGCACAAGCACTACAATTGTAAATGTTCTCTATTCCTTAATGTATTGTCAAAAAACTATGAATGACCATTGGGAATGATGGATGGATGAATAGATGCATCCTTTTTTAAATTTGGATTTTTTGAAAAATATTTTTTGAAGTTACCACTAAGGCGTGGACTTTAAAAAAATGTTTTTGAAGGAGCGGATTTTTTTTTTTTGCAAAATCCCCAAGGTATCGACATTCGGTAGGTAACTTTAAATGGTGGCTATAAGAAAAAACGGACCGATATTTATAATTTTTGGTAAGACGAGTTGACACCCAATGAAAACCCAAAATACCAAATTGTAGCCAATTTGGTTGAAAAACGCGCTCAAGATCCCCAAAATACCGGAAATTGGGAGCTAACCTTGTATGGGGCTACTCATAAAAGTAGACCAATATTCATAATTTTTGGTGGGGAGATTTGATACCCAATAAGAATCCAAAATACCAAATTGTAGCCCATTTGGTTGAAAAACATGCTCAAGATCACCAAAATATCGAAAATTGGGAGGTACCCTTGTATGGGAGCTACCCTTAAACATAGGCCAATAGTGATATTTTTTGGCAGGGGGATTTTTTATTGATTGCGAACTCAAAATATAAAATTGTAGCCAATTCGGTTGAAAAATGTGTTCAAAATCCCTCATACATCGAAATTTGGAAGGTACCCTTAAACGGGACCTATACGAAAATATGGTCCAATATTTATAATTTTTGGTAGGAAGATTTGCCACCTAATGAGAACCCAAAATGTAAAATTTTAGCCAATTCGGTAGAAAAATGTGTCCAAAATCACCCATATATCGAAATTTGGAAGGTACCCTTAAACGGGACCTATACGAAAATATGGTCCAATATTTATAATTTTTGGTAGGAAGCTTTGCCACCTAATGAGAACCCAAAATACCAAATTACAGTCAATTCGGGTGAGAAGCGTGCCCAAACTCCCGACATATCGACATTTCGAAAGTTTCCTTATATGGGGGCTACCCTGAAACATGTACCAATATATATAATTTTTTGTAGGAAGATTGGCCACCTAAGGAAAACCCAAAATATTAAATTACAGCTAATTTGTTTGAAAAACGGACCAAAAAGTCGCCAAAATATCGAATATTGCGGGTTCGATTATATGGAAGCTATACGAAAATATGGACCGATATTAATCATTTTTGGTTGGGAGATTTTTAACCCCTGGGGGACTCAATATATCAAGTTATAGCCAATTCACTTGAAAAATGTTCCCTAAAATATCCAATATATCAAAATTCGAGGGGTTACCTTATGTGGGGACTTCCCTTAAATTTGGACCAATATTAACAATTTTTTGTAGGAAGATTTTCTACCCAATGCGAACCCCAAATATCAAATTATAGACAAGTATGTTAATAAACATGCCTAAAAACGGCAAAATATCTAATAGTAGGGGGTGCTGTTATATGAGAGCTACCCTGAAACTTGGGCCTATATTAATAATTTTTGGTAGGGAAATTTCCTACCCAATGAGAACCCAAAATATAAAATTGTAGCCAAATCCGTGGAGAAATGTACCAAAAATCCCCAAAATATCGAGATTTCGAGGGGGTACCCTTATAAGGGGGCTGTACGAAAACATAGACCGATATTTATACATTTTGGTAGGAAGACTTGCCACCTAACGAAAACCCAAAATACCAAATTCCAGACAATTCGATGGAAAAATCTGCTCAAGCTCCCCAAAATATCGCAATAGTGGAGTACCCTTATATGGGGACTTCCCTTAAAATTGGGTCGACAATAGTAATTTTTGGTAGGATGATGTTTCTCCCAAAGAGAACTTAACGTACCAAATTCCAGTCAATTTGGTTGAAAAACATGCCCAAGCTCCCCAAAATACCGAATATCGATAGAGGGGGTTATCGTAAAACGTGGACCAATATTTATAATTTTTAGTCAGAAGATTTCCTACCTCAGGAAAATCCAAAATACCAAATTACAGCCAAATCGCATAAAAAACGTACCACAAATACCGAAATTCGGGGTTTCGGTTGTATGGGAACTACCCGGAATCTTGGACCTATATTAATAAGTTTTGGTAGGGAGATTTAATACCTCATGATAATGCATAATACCAAATTACAGAAAATTCGCTTGTAAAACGAGCCCAAGCTCCCCAAAATATCGAACATTAGAGGGTTCGGTTATATGGGAGCTACCTTAAAAAGTGGACCAATATTAATAACTTTTGCTAGGGAGATTTGCCACCTAATAATAACCCATCATACCAAATTACAGCCAATTTGGTTGAAAATCCTGCCCAAGCTCCCCAAAATACCGAAATTCGGAAGGTATCCTTAATGAGACCTACCCTTATAATTAGACCAATATTACTAATTTTTGGTAGGGAGATTTGCTACCCAATGAGAACCCACCATACCAAATTACAGTCAATTTCGATGAAAAATGTACCCAAGCTCCTTAAAATACCGAATATCGAGAGAGGGGGCTACCCTAAAACATGGACCAATATTGATCATTTTTGGTAGGAAGATTTTCTACCCCAGGAGAACCCAAAATACCAAATTACAGACAATTAGCTTGAAAATCATGCCCAAAATACCGAAAATACCGAGGTACCCTATAGGGAGCCTATACCAAAACATTGACCGATTTAAGCCATTTTCAATACCAAACCTCCTAGGAGTAGTAGCAATGTGTGTGCCAAATTTCTCAGCTCTATCTTAGATAATTGCCAATCACTTAGCACTGCATTTTCCCCTTTCAGGGGTTCCGACTGCCAACAATGTCGGAACAGTCGATTTCCCACCACTGACATTATTTACACTTCATAAATTTTGACAATTCCCTCCCTTCCCTTTTTAGAATATACTATTTTTTTCTTCACTTACCAATTGCCATTGCCGTTTCTTGAGCATCGCCGGTCACCATTTTCACCCTCACGCCGCTCTGCATCAGCAACTCTATCGATTCTCGAACCAATGGCCTTGGCGGATCGGTGATGCCCACCAAGCCACAATACACCAAATCTTGTAGATTTTTGCCTTTGGCCAATGCCAAAACTCGCAATCCTTTACGACCAATTTCATAGGCTTCCGCTAAAAATTCCGCTTCGTTTTGCTTCGTCAACGGCATTGTTTGTGAGCCAAATTTATATTTCGTACATTGAGGCAGGAGCATATCGAGAGCACCCTTGGCAAAGTAAATTTCTTCCTTGTTGTTGTTGTATTTGTGTATACACTTGACGGCCATCATTTTTTGTTCCGACGAGAAGGGATATTCCTGGATGCGTACATAATTTTCCGCTGTGGCATACATGCCATTTTTCATTGCGGCCGCAATGAGAGCGCCCTCTGTGGGTTGTCCCAGGAGGGTACCATTTTGTATGTAGGCATTATTGCATACCGCTCCGATCTCCAGGAGGTTGGTAATATTCGCCTTGGCCATTTCCACATTGTTACAATTGCGTATGTGTATCTCACCCTGATCATTGTATCCGGCTCCCGTAACATCTGCCATATAACCATCGGAGGTGATGATCACGGTGACGGTCATTTCATTTTTCGTCAGGGTTCCAGTTTTATCGGAGCAGATGACATTGACACAACCCAATGTCTCGACGGTGGGCAGCTTCTTGACAATGGCATTACGTTTTGCCATGCGCATGACACCCAAGGCCAGGGTGACAGTCACCACAATGGGTAAACCTTCCGGTATGGCAGCCACAGCCAAAGAGACAGAGATATTAAACATCTCCGTGAGAGGTTTACCCTGCAACCAGCCGAGCAGCATAATGACTCCAATAATCAGGAATGAATAAAAACTCAATTGGGCACCCAAAATATCCATAGATTTCTGCAACGGTGTCTTGGGGGCCTCTTCGGCCTGCATCATTTTGAAGACCTCACCAAATTCACTGCGCTCCCCAGTGCTCACGACAATACCCTTGCCATTGCCACAGCGGACCAAGGTCCCCATAAAGGCAATATTTTTCATATTTGTATGATCCTTATTGCCCATATTGTTTAGCAGCATATCGGTACATTTGCGCGAGGGTTCTGTCTCTCCCGTAAAACTTGACTCATCAATGGACAAATCAATTGCCTCAAATAGCCTCACATCGGCTGGGACCCGATCACCCACATTCAAATGGACAATATCACCCGGCACAAGTTCACGTGCTAAAAATGTCTCCAATCGGGATTCCCGTAAGCAGTGGCATTCTGGCGGTACCAATTTCTTTAACTCCTCTAAACTTTTCTCCGAACGATACTCCTGTATAAATGCCACGGTGACCACAATAATTATAGCTATCGTAATACTAACAGCATCATCGTATTGTTTCATTACCACCGATACCAGGGCGGAGCCGAGCAACAGCAGGATGAGTGGATTTTTAAATTGTTCTATATATTTTTTCCATGTCGGATCTTCTTCGATAACATTTAGCTCATTTTGTCCAATGATTTTTGCACGATATTTTGCCTCGGTCCATTTGAGGCCGGTGCGGACATCGACTTGTAAACGGCCGGCGACCTCAGAGGCACTAAATGTTGATGATTCCGCTGTGGTGAGTAACATTTCGGGGGTTAATGTTGAACCCGTCTGGAAGGAGAGGGGAAAATAAAAAGAGAGGGGGAAGATTAGAATGTTGTTGTCCTTCAGATCTGAAAGTTTTATAAACATATTTCAATTATTTAAAATGTTATGGTAATTTGAAAAAAAATTGGGAAAATTTGTAAGCCCCGGTATTTTTAATGCATTTCCTTATTTTCCCAAAAACTCAAATATTTTATTTGAACATGGGCACACAATTCACATTCAATTTAAAGCTAGTGTACTCCCCTTTCAAAATCAATTCAAATCTCTAAACTATGCCCCATAGTTCTAAAGTTATGGCCTCTAGAATATGTTACGCAAAAAATACGAAGTATCGGAAAATTCTAAGTCTTGAGGTTATTTTTCCGATATCTCAGATATTTTTCCAGACACTTCCTAATAATTTAGTATTGGATTTCAAGATAAGTTATTCTTCTTTGAAAATCAATTTAAATCTTTTAAATATTTCCTATGGTTCCGAAGTTATGACCTCTAGAACATGTAACACAAAAAATACCACATATCAGATAATTCTAAGTCTTGTGATATTTTTCCGATATCTCAGATATTTTAGAAGACACCTTCTAATTTTTAGTACCGGATTTCAAGATAAGTTATTCATCTTTCAAAATCAATTTAAAGTTCTGAAATATTTCCCATAGTTCCGAAGTTATCACCCCTCGAACATGTTACGCAAAAAAAACCAAGTATCGGAAAATTTGAAGTCCCGATATATTTTTCCGATATCTCAGATATTTTCCCAGACACCTCCTTATTTTGAGTATTGGATTTCAAGATAAGTTATTCATCTTTCAAAATCAATTTAAATTTCTGAAATATTTCCCATAGTTCCGAAGTTATCACCCCTAGAACATGTTACGCAAAATGAATACCAAACGAAAGATAATTCTAAGTCTTGAGCTTATTTTTCCGATATCTCAGATATTTTCCTAGACACCTTCTAATTTTTAGTATTGAATTTCAAGATAAGCTATTCTTCTTTTATAATCAGTTTAAACCTCTGAAAGATTCCCCATAGTTCCGAAGATATGGTCCCTAGAACATGTGTGCGCAAAAAAATACCAAGTATCGGAAAATTCTGTCTTGAGATTATTTTTCCGAAATCTCAGATATTTTTCCAGACACCTTTTTAGTAGTGGATTCCAAGATAAGTTCTTCCTCTTTCAAAATCAATATAAATCTTGAAAATAGTCTCCATAGTTCCGACGGTATGGCCCCTAGAACATGTTAAGCAAAAAATATCACATATCAGATAATTCTAAGTCTTGGGCTTATTTGTCCGATATCTCAGATATTTTTCCAGACACCTTCTAACTTTTATTATTGGATTTGAAGATAAGTTATTCTTTTTTCAAAATCAATTTAAATCTCTGAAATATTCCCCATAGTTTCGAAGTTATCACCCCTAGAACATGTTACGCAAAAAAAAATATCAAACGATAGATAATTTTAAATCTTAAGCTTATTTTTCCGATATCTCAGATATTTTCCCAGATACATTCTAATTTTTAGTACTGGATTTGAAGATAAGTTATTCTTCTTTCAAAATCAATTTAAATCTCTGAAATATTCACCATAGTTCCGAAGTTATGACCCCTAGAACACGTTACGCATAAAAATACCAAATAACAGAGAATTCTAAGTCATGTGATAATTTTCCGATATCTCAGATATTTTCCTAGATACATACTAATTTTTAGTATTTGATTTCAAGATTAGCTATTCTTCTTTCAAAATCAATTTAAATCTTTTAAATATTCCCCATAGTTCCGAAGTTATGGTCCCTAGAACACGTGTGCGCAAAAAATACCAAGTATCGGAAAATTCTGTCTTGAGCTTATTTTTCCGATATCACAGATATTTTTCCAGACACCTTCTAATTTTTAGTATTGGATTTGAAGATAAGTTATTTGTTATTCAAAATCAATTTAAATCTTTCAAATATATCCGATGATTCCAAAGTTATGACCTATAAAGCATGTTACGCAAAAAGAACCAAGTATCAGAAAAATCTAAGTCTTGTGATAATTTTCCGATATCTCAGATATTTTCCTAGACACATCCAGATTTTTAGTACTTGATTTTAAGATTAGTTAATCCTCTTTCAAAATCAATTTAAATCTTTTAAATATTCCTCATAGTTCCGAAGTTATAACACCTAGGACATGTTACGCAAAACTATACCAGATATTTGGTATTTTTTGCGTAACATCTTCTAGAGGCCATAACTTCAGAACTATGGGTGATATTTTGATGATTTAAATTGGTTTTGAAAGAGGAATAACTTTTCTTAAAATCCAGTACTAAAAATTAGGAGGTGTCTGGGAAAATATCTGAGATATCGAAAAAAAACTCACGACTTAGAATTATCTGTCGTTTGGTATTTTTGCGTAATATGTTCTAGGGGTGATAACTTCGGAACTATACGGAATATTTTGATGATTTAAAGTGGTTTTGAAAGATGAGTTACTAATATTGAAATTCAATATTAAAAATTAGGATATGTCTACGAAAATATTCGAGATATCGGAAAAATAAACTCAATACTTATCTTAATATTATCTGTCGTTTGGTATTTTTGCGTAACATTTTCTAGGGACCATAACTTGAGAACTATGGAGAATATTTGGATAATTTAAATTGATATTAAAAGAGGAATAACTTATCTTGAAATTCAGTACTAAAAATTTAGGAGGCGTCTGGGAAAATATCTGAGATATCGTAAAAATTATCACCATACTTAGAATTTTCCGATACATGGTATTTTTTGCGTAACATCTTCTAGGGGTCATAACTTCGCAACTATGGGAATATTTTGATGATTTAATATTATTTTGAAAGAGAAATACCTTATCTTGATATCCAGTACTAAAAATTAGGATGTGTCTTGAAAAAAGATGTGAGATATCGGAAAAATAAACTCAAGACTTAGAATTTTCTGACATTTGGGAATTTTTTGCGTAACATCTTCTAGAGGCTATAACTTCAGAACTATGGGTGATATTTTGATGATTTAAATTGATTTTGAAAGAGGAATCAAGTACTAAAAATTAAGAGGTGTCTGGGAAAATATCTGAGATATCGGAAAAATAAACTCACGACTTAGAATTATCTGTCGTTTGGTATTTTTGCGTAATATGTTCTAGGGGTGATAACTTCGGAACTATACGGAATATTTTGATGATTTAAAGTGATTTTGAAAGAGGAGTAACTAGTCTTGAAATGTTATATAAAATATATGTACGTGTCTAAGAAAATATTATAGATATCGGAAACATTTCACAAGACTTAGAATTTTCTGACATTTGGTATTTTTTTTTTTGCGTAACATATTGTAGAGGCCATAACTTCAGAACTATGGGGAATATTTTGATAAGTTAAATTGATTTTGAAAGAGTAATAACTTATCTTTAAATAGAGTACTAAAATTAAGAGGTGTCTGGAAAAACATCTGAGATATCGGAAAAATAAACTCAAGACTTAGAATTATCTGTCGTTTGGTATTTTTGCGTAATATGTTCTAGGGGCCATAACTTCAGAACTATGGGAAACATTTTGATGATTTAAATAGATATTGAAAGAGAAATAACTTATCTTGAAATCCAGTACTAAAAATTAGGATGTGTCTTGAAAAATATGTGAGATATCGGAAAAATAAACTCAAGACTTAGAATTTTCTGAGATTTGTGTATTTTTTTTTTGCGTAACATCTTCTAAGGGCTATAACTTCAGAACAGTGGGGAATATTTTGAAGATTTAAATTGATTTTTAAAGGGGAATAACTTATCATGAAATCCAGTACTAAAAATTAGGAGGTGTCCGGGAAAATATCTGAGATATCCGAAAAATAAACTAAAGACTTCGAATTATATGTCGTAGTTTATTTTTGCGTAATATGTTCTAGGGGATAACTTCGGAACTATAAGGAATATTTTGATGATTTAAAGTGATTTTGAAAGAGGAGTAACTAATATTTAAATTCAATATTAAAAATTGATGTGTCTACGACAATATTCGAGATATCGGAAAAAATTTCACAAGGCATAGAATTTTCTGACATTTGGGAATTTTTTTGCGTACCATCTTCTAGGGCCCATAACTTCAGAACTATGGGAAATATTTTGATAATTTAAATAGATATTGAAAGAGGAATAACTGTTCTTGAAATCCAGTACTAAAAATTAGGATCTGTCTACGAAAATATCTGAGATATTGGAAGTTATCACAAGACTTGGAATTTTCTGACATTTGGTATTTTGTTGCGTAACATTTTCTAGGGGCCATAACTTCAGAACTATGGAGAATATTTTGATAATTTAAATTGATTTTGAAAGAGGAATAACTTATCTTGAAATGATGTACTAAAACTTTGGAGGTTTCTGGGAAAATATCTGAGATATCGTAAAAATAATCATCATACTTAGAATTTTCCGATAGTTGGTATTTTTTGCGCACACGTGTTCTAGGGGTCATAACATCGGAACTATAGGGAATATTTTAAATATTTAAACTAATTTTGAAAGAAGAATAACTTGTCTTGACATCCAATACTAAAAAATTTGGGCATATTTGAGCACATGTGGCCATTTTACGATATCTCAGGCATTTGCTAAGATATAGCCCCATAACTTATATGTATTTGAAGTTCAGAATTTCACCATGAAGACTGGGGCCAGCTTTTATAATATGACGTTCGATTGTAGAATTGTGGTCCCATAAACATTTCGGAAAAGCATCTATTAGAAATCACAAAAACATTTCTTTCTTTTGTGTATATCTCCGAAATTTTATGAGTTATGTTATTGAGATTAATGGTTGACTCGAAGTCTAAGTGGTCCTGATTTAAAATTCTGGAGAATCTTAAGAATATTCCAAGGAGTTTTAAGGAGTTTAGGGCTCCTAGAACACGAGGTTCTCTAAAGTCACCAAACAAAAACATTTCTTCCTTTTGCGTATATCTTCGAAAATTTATAAGTTACGTTATT